GAATAAAGCATCTGAAGGAACCTACTGGCCCAATTGTGGTTTTGCAGACTTGTGAGTGTGTTCTGGTAAGAGATTGGAGACTGAACCACAGATTCCACCTGCTACTGCCATGCTGCTTTTAGTAACCTTTAACTTCTTTAAAAAAATTCTCTTACCATCAGGTAAGAGATTGCCTAATGTTTTCCTTTCATGTGGGCTCTTGAGTAATTTTTTACTTTCAGTTTTAATAATGTCACGCAATCTAGCTTTCAGAATTTGGCTCTGTGGAATCAAGTCTCTTAAATTGGTTATGAACTTTATCTAGGAATAATAATTTCTAATGAAGACAGTTTATACATCAGAAATTCCTGTGTGACAGTCTCATGATATTATTGCAAGCAAAGGTTGGACAGCTGTTGGTGTAAAACACCTAAAAGCAAAGTGTGTGCTGGAGTGAGGATGGTGTCCCTCAGTCCTTGGGCAGGTCCTGTGAAGGTTTCCACGTGAGGGTGGATGGGTGCAAACACACCTGGTGTAAGTGCATTGCTGTGTTTGCCAAAGTAAGGTGTTTATGTAGATTCAATATCAGTGGAAATCCAGGCTTTCTTAAAGATGCAGACCCTACCAGCTGTGTGGTGATGTAAGCAGAAAACTCAGATCTGAGGTGGTGTGTGGCTTCTGCTTTTGCCAAGTTACAGCACGAGTTGGAACAGCTTAGCAGGTTTTGCTTTGTGAGGTACAAACATGTTCCACTTCATTTGGAACAGAGAAGTGGAGAGCCCTGCCCACGGAGTGCTGTGGGGTGTCTCATCTCCTGGAAACCCTGAGTGTCCCACAGCAGCTGCTGCTGGGCTCGGTGACAGCTCCACAGGGCCTCTTCCCACAGCTCCCACAGGTGCAGCTCACTCACCTTGACAGCCCTGCTCCAATTTAAGCAGAATGGATTTGGAAGAAGCTTCCAAGGGGGCTCCTACTGCCTTGCTGCTGTCTGGTCCTGCACAGGGGCTGGCCCTTGCTGTGCTGCTTTCCACTGAGTCACCAGGGGCTCCCACGCAGCAGGGCAGCTTTTGGGAGGCGATGCAGAGGAGCTGTGCTCTGCCCCTCGTGGACCTAGAGATGGAACAGAAACGTTTGCCACCTTGGGGCCTGTTTTTCTGCCCTGTTAGATGTGGTTGGAGCCTCCGTCCAGCTGCGGTGCCCTCTGTGAGCTCGCAGCAAACAACAGCCCCTGTCTGCTGTTTCTCTTTTCCCAGAAAAATAACTGGAAGCAGCTACTGCAGCTTCTGTGAGTTGTAATGACACAGTTACCGTTTGTTTGTCTGAATGGGCTGAGGCTGGCTGCTCTCAAGAAGAAATAAACCTGTCAAGCTCACCCAGTTGGTGTTTGCCAGGGCTGGGGCAGGGCACAGACCCTGCAGAAGGGCTTGGGAATGAGACCCTTGGGAATGTCTGTCCTCCCTTCAGCTGCGGGGGCAGGGGCTCAACACCTACACTTCTCTTGGTGTTCCTCACAACTGGCCACAGCACCTTGTTCTGTTTTGCCCTCTGGCACCATGGAATGACCCTGCTGCTCTGTTTCTCAGAATAGATCCCCTTATCTCATAACCACTCTACCTCATTTCCCTGCTCTCACCACAGGCACAGAAGAAATGAAAGCAGAGTAATATTTTAGTTACTCCTCTTGTTCTCATCTGCTTTGCCCCCTTGTGTTCTCTCTCACCCTGTTTTGCTGAATCCAGGGCTGCTGGCTGCTTGTTGGAATCAGGGTGAAGGAGGGGACAGAGCACCTTGCTCAGTGGAAGAGGGATGTGTTAACCACTGTAATGCCAGGCCAGAGCTGTTAACAGTGGACTTGAAAACCTGTTCTTGTGTGTGAATATCTGAATGTCCTTGTCACGGCTTTACGTGTGCAACAAATGCTCCTTGTAAGGAGAGCAGTTGTTGAGGAAATGAAGAGCATCACCTGTATTTGAGAAACCAAACTGTTAATAAACACATAATAAAGAAAACAACATGAAGATGTTGGTGCTAACTGCAAAGGCTGGGTGAGTTCTGGTATCTTCTACACCCCTCTGAGGCTTCAGAGATGGAGGCCCACTCCCTTTGGAGGCAGCTCTCACAAGCATTCATACCAGTGTTCAGTCAAAAATCCATCTTTTTGTTCAAACTCCTTCAGATTTGGCTCGCAACTAGTGGCTCCTTGGGAAGCTTTTTATCCTGTGAGATTTAAGAGCTCTGCTGCTGGAAATCATCCCTCTCTTCACAGGTTTTCCACAAGCTGTCCATCCCTCCTGGCCAGTCGGCTCTTGAACAGACAGATTTGAACCTCCTTTCTGTCCAACAGTTCCTGCAACTTCTTCCAGAGCCTCTCTGGAGTTGAACAAAGACTTGTGAAGTGAGTTCCAGGAGTGTCTGTAGCTGTCCAGGGCTGTGTGTGAGCTCTCAGAGGAGCTTTCCCTGTGGGCTTTCCCTGCTGGAAGCTCGTGTCCAGCTTCAGACTTGTTTTCTTTCTAGCACATTGTTTTCTACCCAAAGAGCTTGATCTGCAATCTTTGTTCCTTGCCTTGCTTTCTTCTGATTCAATTCTCTATCCTCACGATGTTGAATCCTGTGTTTTTGAATGCCAATGAGTCTCAACTTTCCCAGTTGCTCTTGGGTGCACTTCCTGCAGCCCTGTTGGCTTTCAAGAGTTGCTTTTTACCATTTCCACTAAGTCATTAGTGTAATAGGAAATAGTTGTTAGTTGCTTCCAGAGAGACTGTCCAAAACACAGTGAGAGCCACTCCTACACAGAGGTTGACACTTCAGTTTTTGTTTTGAGTTTCAGGGTTTATTTTCTGTCAAGTATTAGATCTGGATCATTGTTCAAGTCCTGCTTTCTTTGGGCTGTTTCAGGCAGGTCCCTAAATCCTGCTGGTACAAACTTTTAGCTGCTGGCTGATTCTCTGCCATCAACTTTAACATAATTGTGTGTTTTGTTGATAAAAGTTCCCACCTCTCCTCTGTGAGTGATTGGGGAAGGACAGTGTTCTTCTGAGAAAATCCTCTTTTGCAGTCTGTGTAATGTTTTTTGTTGGTTTGGTAAAGGGGAACAATCCTCTGGTGAGGGCTATGGAAGGTGCTTCCATTGGAAAATATTCCTTCCTGTTCAAGTGACATAACAGGGCTGCTGGAAACAGGGTGTACAGACTGGTTCAAGAGGGGGATAGGGTGGTGGAGGCAAATCTGACACCCCTTTTGTCCTCCTTTATGCCCCGTTTTCCTGCCCAGCTGTCCTTGTTAGGATGGCCTCACCCTTGTCTCAATTCTGGCTCTAGGCCTTCTAGCAAAATTCATGTGACTGAAGTGCCTACCTACAGCAAATTGTCCTGCCATTATTTCAGTGGTCCTGTTCATATCCTGTGTCATCTGAGCACAGGAAGCCAGCAGAACACAGAGCCTGCAGGCACCACAGCCTGCTTTCATTTTTGGACTAGAGGATTTCCAGAAGTCCCTTCCACCCCCAGCCATCCTGTGGCTCTGGGATCCTGATGTGTTGTGCAGACACAGCCCTGCCTGGCACCGTCTCCCAGTCAGTGTCTGGCATCTTGTGGTGTCTGAAGGAGGTGGCAGGAAAATGGAGAGTGACAGCAGGACCAGCAGAGGGAGAGGTCCCTGAAAGCATGATGTGCACTAAGCATTTTTGATGGTAAAATAGCCCCAGCCTTTGGTTTGCCACCACATGGAGTATTAGCAGGATCTTGGGCTGTTGATCTGGGCATCCAAAAAAGAAGGTGCAGCTGAAATGGCTTCAGTTGGTTTCCTTGTCTCTCCCTCTCACCCTCCCTTTAAGAAACATCTTTGTGAAAGTGGGAAGCAGTGGGTGTGGAGTAAGAATACTCGTGACGCTTAAGGGAAACTGCTACACTCTCCTCAGTCCCACCCCAACAAGCTGTTGGCATTAACACAGTGCTGGAAAAATGTGGAATGGATCCTCTCCAGGCAAAGCCATAGTGTGACCCTCTCTTGTAATGGCTGTGGGAGGGGATGGGGACCTGTCCTTGGGTGGCTGTCCTGGGACAGAGACAGGGGGACTGAGCCAGGCTAGGCACAACCGAGCTTGAACTTGTTAGAGTTGGATTTCTGCTGCTTTTGTGTCTCTTAAGCCCTGAAGTGTGAGGAAGAGCTAGATGGGGTTGTTGAAACCTGTAATGTGGATTGCTGCTGAAGCAAAAGGCTGGTGAATATCTCCAAAAAGCAGTGGAGTGTCTGGTGGTGCAAAACTTTGTCAGCATGTCTGATTTATTGGTGTGGTTGCAGGCAAAGCTGAGCCCTTGCCTCAGAGAAGAAAGTGTACAAAGGTTCGAATGTGCCTTTTTCAGATCCCAGTTTTGATGTTCAAGATCAAAGACTGTGTGTTGTGATTGCTTCCTTCAGCCACAGGAGAGACTAATCTCTGGTTTGCTCTTGTGTTAAGCATTTCCTTTTTTTGAACACTACCCCATAAAAATACACACTTCAACAGGGGTCTGTAAAGTGCAAGGAAAGAGTGTTCCTAATTGCTTGTGTGCACCTGTAAATATGTGGGGAAATCTCACTGTCCCCACTTAGAAATCTGCAGTACACGAAGAATGGAAATCGAGAAATGGAAATATCCCTGTCTCTTTTCATTAGGATATTGTAATGAGCTCTTGAAAGTGCTGGGGTCCGGACTCTATTTTTCCTTGGAAGGTGAGAGTGCAGCCTCGGAGCTGCGGGCTGGCCGCAAGGAAGGGAGCGACCCCCGCATCCCCCGGGCTCGGCTCCACATCCCCGGCCGGGGGGACTCCTCGGCTCCGTATCCCCGGCCGGGGGGACTCCTCGGCTCCGTATCCCCGGCCGGGGGGGACTCCTCGGATCCGTATCCCCGCCCCGGGGACTCCTCGGCTCCGTCCCTCCCGTGCTCCGGAGGCTTTGCCGTTCCTGCCGGCGGTCGGGAGTGCGGAGGCAGCGGCCCGGGCGTTTTTGGGGAGCGGCTGCGGGTATCGGAGCAGGGCTGTGGGAGGAGGGTGTCTCCCGAGCCCCAGCCGGGCCGGAAGGGGCTTTGCTGCTGATGCTTCGAGGCTTTCGGAGTCGCAGCATCCCTCGCAGCCGCACGGATGCAGCCGCAGCAGGGCAGAGCCGCCCCCGGGGCTGGCCCGGCGGGGTTCGGGCACCGCAAGGACGAGCCCGGCAGGCAGGTCCGGCCCGTGCCGCTGCCGCCCGTGCAGCAGAACCTCAATTATTACCCGCAGATCTTCTGGGTGGACGGCTGTGCCGATGCTGGGGCTGCCCCCGCCGCTCCCTTCCCACCGCCCGTCCCCGACCGGAGCACAAAGCCACGGAGCCACGCGGAAAGGAGAAGTGTCGGCTTCCTCGTCATGTTCCTGCTGATCCTGGTGGCCTTCACCGGAGTGGGGCTGAGCATATTTAAGATTTTTCACCTGGAGAAGGAGGTGGATGAACTCAGAGAGGTGAGGTCAGCCTGGGCGCAGGTGCCTGGGGAAACGGGGAGAAGGAGCTCTTGGAACGGGGCTGGGATGCTCCCAAGGGGCACGATGGGGCATTTCGGTGGCATTTCGATGGGGCATTTCGGTGGCATTTCTCTGTCTGCTTGTTCCCGTGAGGGACTGCTCGGTTGGTGATTGATTTATCAGCATATCTCTGTGCTCCCGAGCGCTGCAAGCTCTCTCCCTATGTATTTTTTAGCACTTTGCAGCTCCCCGCGGAGCCAAACCCTCAGACTGTGCCACTGTCCAAGGCAGTCCCTGGCTGCTCATGCTCTCAGTCTAAGCCATTGTCCCTCTTCTCTCTTGCCAGTCTGCCAGCCCTGAGCACATCCCTCCAGCCTCTCAGAAACTCACAGGTGAGTCCGTGCCTGCAGGAGGAACCCCCACTGAAATTAAGAACTGTAGTTTGAACTTCCAAACTATTGCTTTTCTTTTGCATTCCATGTTAATGTTATAAGTGAGGATATCCTTTTCAAAAATGGCCGAGTCAGAAAGAAATTTTCAGTCCTCTAGACAGTTTTTTTCTAGATCTGAAAAGTTTTAATTTTTTCCCCCTTAAGAATTTTATTAATTAGAAAAGTTATTTTCAAATTTGTTCTGATACTGAATCAAAAAAAAAATTGAAATAGCAAAATTCTTGGGGAAAGGGAAGTCCTGGTTCTTATCAACTCCTATACCAATACATTTTCCCCTTTAGGGGAAGGTGAGCTCTCATTTGAACTGTATGCCCAGTGCTCTGACCACAGGCTTCTTTAGCAGAGGCTGAACATAAATAATAAACCTGATTTTCTTGAGGCAGCTGGATAAAGGAAAATAATGTAAAGGAGAAGGGGGAGCGGAGAGGAAAATTTAATTGGCTGGAGAAAAGAATAGGCTGCTTCTGAAATTAGAGAAGATGAAGTAGATGTTGAGGAGAAGTGAAGGGATGGAGTGGGATAGGCTCCAGATACCGAGTCACTGGAATGGGCCCATCTCTCCGAAGGGAACTCAGCCCTGCAGGGCAGGCAGAGCTTTCCCAGCTGTGCTCTCCCTTCCTGGGGACAGCTCCACTTCCCTCCTGGCCAGTGGGATGGAGGGTTTGCAGGGTCTCTGGGCTGACTCCTCCATGGAGCTCGTGGCCAATGTCTTTTCTATCTTTGTGCAGGGCAGGGGAAGGAGGTGAGGAGGGCAGCCCATGTAACAGGTACGTGCTGGGGGAGCAGGGCTGGGCAGCTGGGATGGGCTGAGATGGTGCCATGGCAGCTGGGATGGGCTCAGAGAGGGTACCATGGCAGCTGGGATGGGCTCAGAGAGGGTACCATGGCAGCTGGGATGGGCTCAGAGAGGGTACCATGGCAGCTGGGATGGGCTCAGAGAGGGTGCCATGGCAGCTGGGATGGGCTCAGGGGTGCCATGGCAGCTGGGATGGGCTCAGAGAGGGTGCCATGGCAGCTGGGATGGGCTCAGGGGTGCCATGGCTGGAGTTATGAGGAGCCCACCCCACAGAGGCTTTGCTGTCCTCCTCGGGTGACACGTCTGCTCTGACAGTGGAAATTTGCTCCTCAGACAAAACCCTCCCCCTCACTTATGCTTCTCAGCAAAACCTGTCTCTGGCTTGGTTTTTGGGGTGTGCAGGGCAGGAGCTGGCACTGGAGCTGGCACTGGTGAGGGGTGAGGCCTGGGAGGACTTTCCACACTGCAGACAAGGCTCGGAGAATGGCCTCGTGACGTGGGGTGTGACCTGAGCAAAAACACCCAACCCAATGGTTTTTTTGGGTCTCGTTTTGGCTTCCAGGCAACCCAGCCCAACGGGACCTGCCCCTGGAGTGGGAGCCCACCTCTGGCCATGCCTACACCAGTGGCATCCAGTACCAGAACCGGGGGCTGTTGGTCAGCGAGCCGGGGCTGTACTTTGTGTACTCCCAGGTGCTGTTCCGCGGCAGTGCCTGTGACAGCCAGCTCCTGTCCCACGTGGTGTACAAGAGGAACCCGGCCTCCCCGGGCAGCCTCGTGCTCATGGAGGACAAAGCCACCAACTTCTGCAAGGACCAGAGGATGTGGGCCCGCAACAGCTACCTGGGGGCTCTCTTCAAGCTCAGGAAGATGGACAGCTTGCACGTCAACGTCTCCAAAATCGCCTTGGTGAACTTTGAGGAATCCAAGACTTTCTTTGGTTTGTTTAAGCTTTGAAAGGGAGCGTGGCTGGCAGCCCCTTCACACACACACCCACACGGATGTGTGAGGCTGAGTCCTGCCTGGGCACCACAAAACCCAGCCAGAAACTGTGTTTGGGCTTCAGCACGAGGGGATCCAAGCAACTGGGAAAGGCTTGAAAGCAGACACCTGGAAAGCACCAGGCTGTGCTGCATCAGCCTGAAGAGAATTGCACATATTCTCCTTACAAAAACCCCAACAAACTCAGAAAGTGGCGTGCTGAAGACCCTGCTGGAACTCACTACTTGTTGCCTGAGAAGATGGTGGGACCTGCTGCTTCCTGGGGTGTCACAGCCCTGGTGGGGACAGCTGAGAGGTGTCTGGGTCGTGCCATGACACCACAGACAGTGGTGTGGGGATGAGCAGTGTGAACAACTGCTCCCCCTGAGCCATGGCTGGCGCTGCCCAGCACTGTGGGACTGCTGTATCACAGGCAGCTCCTGCTGTCTGGGCTGGGAAAGGTGCTGTGTTCAGTTGGTGTTAAGCTATGGACCCTTCCCACCCCAGAAAATGCTCCCCAACCACTTTATTTAACTCATCCCAGCTGCCTTGCAAGGAACATGCCAGCAGCAGCAGTGCCCTGAGGGATGTCCCAGAAGTGGCAGCGTGACCACCCCGTGGTGGTGGGGATGGTGGGGTGGCCACGGGCTCTGCTGGTACAATCTAAGCAACACAGCGGTGCAGGGCAGTGGGGCTTGAGGTGGAAGCAGCATCTCGAGCTCCCCTGCAGCCCTTTCAGCACAGGAGGGCTCTCCATGGAGGCCTGGTCTGACAGCCCTTTCCTGATGCAGCTGGTGACATGCTGGCACCTGCAGGACTTTGGCTGGGCCCCTTGCCATGAGATATTCTCTCCTGAGAAAAACACAGATAGTAAAATATATATTTTTCTAGTGAGTGGTCCTCTCCTCATTTGGTGCAACAGGCTGGGCCATGGTCAAAGCACTGCAAGTCCTCTGTGATCAGGGGTCTGTGCCTCACTTCTTCTCCAGCAGCGTGGCAGAAATCTGGGAGCCTCATCCCTCTTTGCTGCCTGCTTGGCACTGCACAAGGCCCTTTCCCTGAGGCTTTGGAGCTGCAGCATTGAAGCAGCAGGATCTGGGGCTGGGAAGCTGTGGTGTGGGCAGCACGGAGCAGGCAGCCTGAGCCCACGCTGGCCACCAGGAAGGGGCTGATCTCAAAGCACAGGAGCTGGAGAGGAGCTGGGCAATGGTGGCTGAGCAGAAGTGCTGCTGCCTGTCCCCCAAGGCACCACTGTGTCACCTCTGGCCCCAGAAACACTTCTCACAGAGTGGTCCAAAGAGCAAAGAAACCAAGTGGTGTAAAAAAACCCCAAACCCTATTTGTTCATCCTGGTGTCAGCTCCACGGAGCTCTAACCCCGGGGATGTCACTGCCCCTGCCACCAGGCAGGACACAAAGGCTGCAGCTGCTCCATCATCACCCTTGCCCGTGCTCCTGCCCTCCTGCAGCTCTGCTGTTGCTCTCAGTGACTGTGGCTCCTCAGCAGCCTGCAGCATTTGTTTCCTTTGCCACGGTGCTGCTCTCAGCTCGGTGGCCTGTGGTTTGTGTTGTCTGCTTCAGAGAAGTTTATCTCTTCAAAACTTCTCAGTGCTCTGGCTACTGCTGTAGCCAGGGGGAAGGGAAAAGTGCAGCCCTGCTCACATTGCTGCTGTTTCCACTGCATTTCTCAGGGTGGAAAGTGTCTCAAAAGGATGAAGTTCAGGGGTCTTCTGGCTTGACTTTTTCTCTGCACGTATCAGAGGGTAAAACTGCACAGCACAGAGATGGAGCTGCTGCATCCAGACCTTTCCAGGAAAGGCTGGAAATTGCTGTCCTCTTCTGATTGCTCTTTGGGCTGTGCTGCTCTCCTGGTGATGGGACATCCAAGTGGGGAGTGGGAAGCTCTTCGTACAGCTGTCTCTGTAGCCAAACCAGCCGAGCACATCAGGAGCTTCCCTTTTTACTGGGGAGCAGCCTGGAGAGAGGCAGGGCATTCCTGACCCACAGGAAACCTGCCCTGCTGCTCTTGTGCCTGCTGGCACGGGGTTGGAAGGGCTGGAAGGATCCCAGAGGCCTGTCTAGGTCACCCCACAGTAACCCATGCTGTGGCTGCAGTCAGCTCTGGGGCAGGACGAGCTTTGGCCCTTGGGAGGGGACGAGATCTGTCCTTACCTGAAATGCCAAGGGCACCCCAGGGCTGCACCTTTCAGAGGCAGGGGCACAGAGGGGTGGGCAGTGTTGTTATAAACAGTGCTGGGCCCCCTGAGGTGAGCAGAGCTGGTGCAGGACCGAGCTGGGGCTCCCAGGCTGGCTCCTGGGCCAGGGGCACAGTGCCAGCGGGATGTGGGATGGGGTTGTGCCCAGTGATCCCTCCCTCAAACACCCCCTGGAGTGCCCCAGCAAAGCCATGCTGAGCTCCTGGGCTCTGACTGCACACTGGGAGTGAGCTCATGGCAGGGTTGGACCATTTCAATTCACAGGCTGCTTGTGCCACACTGACTTTAATAAAGTCATCAGCTGAACTAGCAAATCAGCCTTTCATTTAGAGACGTTTTTGCTAATTGCTACCATTAGATACTCAATGATTGTTTAATGCTGACATTAGGCTCTCTCAGGCTGAGAGAGTTGGGGTTATTCAGCCTGGAGAAGTTTCTAGGGAGACCTCAGAGCCCCTTCCAGTGCCTCAAGGGGCTCCCAGAGAGCTGGGAAGGGACCCATGGCAAGAGCATGGAGTGACAGGAAAAAGGGGAATGGCTTTAAACTGAAAGGGTGCAGGTTTAGATTGGACATTGGGAAGAAATTCTTCCCTGTGAGGGTGATGAGGCCCTGGCACTGTCCAGAAAGGCTGTGGGTGCCCCATCCCTGGAAGTGCTCAAGGCCTGGTGGGATGGGATTTTGAGCAACCTGGCCTAGCAGGAGGGGTCCCTGCCATGAACTGGGGTTGTTGGAGCTAAGTTTAGGCCAAACCATTCTGTGATTTTTAATAGCTCTTGGGCTGTACTTAATTTTTTAAAAATAAAAATAAATTATTGAAATTTAATTGGAATTTAGCAAGTATTTTGTTCTCTCCCCAGCAAGGAAAGGGTCTGCAGGAGGGAGGATATCCCAGGTGCACCAGCAGGACTGACCATTGGGATGTTTGGGTTTTCCCTGCCCTGCAGGCCATGGCTGCAGTGCTCTGAGCTGACATCCTCTCCCCTGACGGAGCAGCCTGGGTCGGGTTGGAGGTGCCTCAGGGGTATCAGCACCATTTACAGGCTCCAGAGACACTCCCTCTGCAGAGAACGTGGCTGACAAGAAGTGAGGAGCCCAGATCATCTCCTGATCAGAGTGCTCTGGTCTGCTCTCTCTCCCTGGCACACAGACAGCTCCTGTGGGCAGCTGACCCCTGCCCAGAAGGTGCCCATATGTTTGGATGCGCAGCTGCCCAAAGTGGGGCTCTGCATGGCAAATATTTATTCTGTTTTGTTCTGCACAGAGCTGCTTGGCACAGATTTGGCCTCTCTTGTGGCTGATGTGCATTAGATCAGCCACAAGAGAGGCCAAATGTGCAGCCATGTGCTATATCCTATTTACCTGAGACCAGGTTCCAGTGCCTTGCAAACCTTGTGTAGGCTCAGGGTGGGCTGCAACCCCTTTTTTAAATCTCTTTTTACCTCCTTTTTTTCCCTGAAGCCAGCCTTGGGCTCTCTGAGTTTCTGTTGCAATGTGCTGTATGGGGTCACTTCTGCCAGCCCAAGGAGCTGCATAGACTCTGGCCCATTTTACCAGGTTGGGAAGGAGTTTGTCTGGTGGTTAGAGACAGGAGAAAGGGAAGAGGGGGAGATTCAGATATTGCTTTTATTCCCCTAGTGCTCTGACACATGGGTGTATTACATCATTGTTATAGAAGTGGAATTTTAGGCATGACTAAGTGACTGAGGTTCAACGCAGCAGAGAGGAGGAGATGAGTAAACAGAGAGTAATTTTGCTGCAAGTTGCATGGATTGGTTTGTTTTTATGGTTGGTTTTAATGACTTAAAAAAAAAAAAAAAAAAAAAAAAAAGGAAAAGGAAGAAGAAAAGCTTGACAGCTTGTTGCTGACTGATCTCTCAGGGTAATGAGGGGAGCCAGGTGCTCTGCTCCTGCACATGGCCTGTCCCAGGAGCTGTGGGTCTGCCCTGCCAAGCCAGCAGCAGCTGTGGGAACAGGCACAAAGGCTTTCTGCTCCAGGGACTCCCAGGTTTGACTGCAAACAAGCTGCTCATTCCTCTGGGTAGCAAAGAGACTCAAAGCTCCAGGTGGAATTTCAAACCACAACATGTTTTCATTTCCCTCAGCTGCATCCCCCTTCCTCAGCATGGCTGTGAGAGAGTCAACTCCTTTCCCCCCTTACAAACCACCACAGATATTTTATTTTAACTGTCCCTCTCTCTTCTTCCCATATTCCACAAACAGTTTCCTTCAACAGTTGAAAAAATATCCCTGTCCAGATTTGTTTTTTGTTGGGGATTCCTCTGGTTTCCCTTGGTCAGTCATTTTGGGGACAGAAAGCCAGCTGGTCACCTAATTCCCTGGGGAATTCACCTTGGACAGCTGCCCTGGTAGGGGAATAGCTTTTGAGGCACCTGAATGGTTACGAGGACTGGACTGCATGTTCTCCTCAGCTCTGTGCTGGGGACATGCATTTCCCCTGATGGTTCTCTCTCCTCACTCCTGTGAGGTTCACGTCAACGCAGCAGCCAAATATGTCTGAGAAAAAGGCAACAGAGAGGAACATTTGTGCTTCCTGATAAGATTTCTGCACAAAGAAGAGATTTAAATTATCTGAGATTTAACTTTCATTACAGTCCTGAAAGAGAAGTCCAAACCATGGAAGATCAAGAATGCACAAAAGAAAATGCCATTTTCTCAGATTCCCTGCTTGATATCAGCAGTGAAGGACCAGGAGGATTTCAGCACATTCAGCAGTTAAATCCCATTGCTGCACTTGGTTTGAGCCAGGGTGGGTTGGCTGACAGTTCTTTTTCCTTAAGCAGCAGAAGGGAATGATAATTTTGCTTGAAATTCCCCCCTCACATGCTGTGCAGACCCTGCTTGCTGTGCTGGGGATGTGACTCAGATAAGGATGTTGATGGAAAAAAGGGGATGGTTATTTCCTAATCCAGTTTGAACCGTCCTCAGGTCCTGTCTCCCTGCCCTGGAAGAGTTTATTTTGTCACCACATGCATTTTATTCTGCACAGAGGGGGTGTTAGTGACAAGACAGGTTACAGCTGAGATCCATCTGCCAGTGGATCCATCCATGCCTCCAGAGCCCTCCAAGGCACAGATTAAACATGTTCCAGAGCTGCTGGGACAGCAGTGCCACAGGACAAGTGCCAGGGCTGTGCACAGGATGCCTGCAAGGAGCAGAGCACCACCTGCACAGGTTCCTGCTGCCATCAGAGTCTTTGCTGTGGGCTGCTGGTGGCTGTACGTGGCACTGGGAGCTGCTGCCTCTGTCAAGTTTTTATCTCTTTTTTGCCAGGGTTGGGATTAAATAGCAAGACAGAATTTCTTGTTGGGACTCAGATGTTTATCAGTTCTTATCTCTGTTACAGTCTCACAAACCCCGAGTTCTACAGCACTTCACTCTAACAAAATAAAAGTGGAGCCCCATCTCTCTCTCTCTACAAGGCCTTTTAAGGATAAACTGTCTGATTAAGAAATGACACCCAAATTATTTTCACTTTTAACCTAATAACCAATCACTCGTGCCCACAATGTGCACTTTTTTATCCAATTACACAAAACCACCCAAACTCATGGAGAAGAAGGTGAAGAGAAGAAC